AGATAGCTAATTCTCCTTGTTCATTTTCGGCTTCAAATGTGAATTTTATTCCCTCCACTAGTGAGTTTATGTTTGTCAAGAAGCTAGAGATATGTTCTGTTTGTAACACTGTGTGTGAAAGTGTCATCCAAATATCTCCACCATATTTTTGGCGTAGGATTAAACGTATTAAGTGCCATATTTTCCCAGCTATCCATAAATATATCTGCTACTATTGGGGATATTGGTGATCCCATTGCTACACCTTCAGTTTGTCTATATATTTTGCCTTGGAATTTAAATATAGTAGATGTGAGGCATAGCTGAATCCCTAAAATAATTTCCTCAATGGACAGCTTTGTCCTATGATTGAGTTCAGTATCCGCAGTTAGTTCTTTTTTAACTGCTTCTAAGGCCATATTGACTGGTATATTAGTATAAAGACTGGTTATATCAAAACTAACCATTGTTTCATCATTATCTAGTTGTATGTCATTTAGTTTATTTTTCATTTCATATGAATTAGTTAGTCTAGAATTTGAACGATTTCTAATGGGGCATAGTATTAGAGCTAAATGTTTTGATAATTCATATGTAGGGGTATTTCTAAAATCTACTATTGGTCTTATGGGATAACCTGGCTTATGTATTTTAATAGTACCATACATCCTACTAGCATTATTAGTTTTAGGCATTAAATTTAACCACTTTGACTTACCCATTGACGGCTTCATTCTGCGTACTAATTCCGCTGTGGATTTTTTAACCTTATTCATTATTGTGTCTACGGGCTACGTAATTTCCTCATATGGACCCATTTCAATATGTTCAGTGACTTTCTTGATGTAGTCAGATTTATTCAAAACTACGGTGGCGTTTCCTTTGTCAGCTTTTGCGATGACAATATTTCTATCCTGTTTTAGATTAATTAAAGCTTCTCTTTCCGATTTTGTCAAGTTTGATTTTGCCTTCTTTTGATTTTTTAGGGTTAATGCACATTGTGCTCTAACCTCTTCTGCTGTTGTTTTATCTACTGAACCTAGTGCTACTTCTATGTTAGGAATGACATCCTCTGGTTTCAATTTAACTGTTACGTTGAAATTTAGTCCTTTCTCCAGTACTTTTATCTCACTGGAGCTTAGTTCCCTTGATGAGAGGTTGATCACGCACTTTGTTTTGTTGACAGAGGATGAAGCACTGACATGAATTTCATTTGCTGTGTTCTTTTCTTCAATAAGTTTGTTGAAATTTTTGATTTGTGTGTTTTTTGATTTTCTTAATGCACATTCTCTAGCTTTTTTGGATATTTCAAGAATAATTGTATAATCTTAGTCATTGATCATATCTTTGAGTTTGTGTTTGTGTTTTTCAATTTCATTTCGTATATTATTTAGTTTCACAGTAACTCGATGTAATTCTTCTCTTAGACATAATCTACTGACATTTTCGGCAGCTGATGTTATTTTACATGAAGTAATTGGAGTATGTAGACTTAAATATTTCGGAATTATATGATTTTTTAAACATCGACTGTTAAAAACCCGATGATTTGTGAATCTTGCTTCAGTTTGACAAAGTCGTGTGAGTTTGTTGATAAGCTTCCTGGTAGGAAGACCATAAGTATCATTGATATAAGAATAAAACTTGGGCAAGGTGGTAGAATGTAATTCCATTATGATTAAATTTTTATCTTGATAGAGTCTCACAGTGTTATACAAAAATATTTACTGATGACGTTTCGAGCACAATTTATTGTTGCTCATAATCATATCAAGGTAATCACACGATTTTAAATAACTATCCTCTAAAATTCATTAGGAAGATTGAAAAACGCCAAAAGAAAAATAAAAAGAATTGTGAAACTAGTAATAACAGCATAAATAAGAGAGAATATAAGTCATCCACTGTAATATCATATAAAGAGGGAACATCTGAGACCCTACGTAGGATTCTAAATAACGCAGGAATTAGGGTGGCATTTAAACCTACAAGCTCACTCAGGGACAAGCTCTGTAGGTTAAAGGACCCAGTGGACCCAATTAGACAAAATAATATAATTTACAAAATACCCTGCAATGACTGTAAGGTCAACTACATAGGTCAAACTAGTAGGTCAGGGGTAGTCAGATTGTCAGAACATAAGAATTTAGCTAAGGTAAGAATGGTTGACCCCGAGAAGATAAGTAATTTAGAAAAAAACTCAGCAATTGCACTGCATGCATTAACACACAACCACACAATAGGGCAGGTGGGAGAGGGTTAAAATTCTAAAAAGTAATCTAGGTAGGTGGAGAGAGAGGTTGATTACTGAATCCTGTCTGGTTCATTGAATCTACACCCAACACATGCAATAGGAATGAATCATCACTCATACCTGAAATATGGAAAATAATACTACCAATCAAATCAAGTGAAAAACAATGGAACTATATAAATGAATTTAGGAAGTCGTGTGATTACCTTGATATGATTATGAGCAACAATAAATTGTGCTCGAAACGTTGTCATCAGTAAACATTACTGTACAACACTGTGAGACTCTATCAAAATAAAAATTTACCCATAATGGAATTACATTCTACCACCTTGCTCAAGTTTTATTCTTCTATCAAGGAATATTTTGCACCAGAATATATGAACGTCGCTGACCAACAACGTCTCATGTCATATGAAATGGAAAACCTATCGAATAAAGCCAACAAGTTATTAGAAAAAGCAACAAAGACAGGACCTCCATGGAAAATATAGAAGACACAGGTAATGAAGAAAGCCAACTGACAAAAATAAACATCAATCCTTATCAACGAGAGTAATTTGATTGAGGTCACCTCCTTCACTTATCTGAATAGGCAGCATCGTTTTAACTACAGCCAGCTTCGTGGATGAGGATTTAAAACCCAGTCGGGATCAAAAATGCAAGACGAACCTTCACCATTCTGAAATCAGTTTGGGATTCTTCCACACTCAGTACAAGAGACAGAGTTCGGATTTTCAACACCAATGTTCATTCAGTCAGCACTTCTATACGGATCAGAAACTTGGAAAAAAAAACATTTCCAAAAGCCTACCGCAGAATTTTATCGACAGTTGCCACCTTCGCTGGCTCCATATTGAAGATAAAATGGCCGACCAGGAAGAACTAGCAACAAGAAACTCTGGAGATGAACCAACCGAGAACGTATCGCTCAACAGTTATGTAGAAGAAAACGGAGATGGATTGGGAATACTCTGAGGCGACCACCAGGTCACCGCTCGATTGGTGTGCTAATGAGAAATTATGAGTTGGTCGTCCCAGGGTGACATGGAGACGATCATGTGAGGAGGAGGAGGTGAGAGAATACTGACTGACAATCGTGAGGCCAGTCAAAGACACCTTCAGAGAACAGGGCAAAGTAAATACTTGCTGATGATGACCAATGACGTAGTTGTGTGAGAAAGGATATCAACATATCAGTAATCAAACACTGCATCTGCCTAAAACTTGTTCAACAAATCTAGAAGTAGAGATATAACTTTCCGATAGAGAAAGAAAGACCAGATTTGCAGTATAAAATGATATCATTCTATTTCACAGGTTCTCATCAGCTGCAAACTACCTGAAATTACAATGGTTATAAATAATAACATTTCACACTTCATTGTTTGAAAGGTAATACAGAAAGCATTATAAGATAAAGGCATCCGGAATAAAAGGATTAAAATTTTTTGTTGTTTAAGTTACCATCAATTTATATACTATCAAACTATGGAAAAAAGAAAGAAAAAAGGGGGGGGGTGAGAGAAGACAGAAAACAGAAAAATCTAATAAACAGTGTCAATATGGCAACTCAACAAGGCCAAAGTTCATCAATTTGAAAATTTGCTTAGTGAGTTGACCTCACTAGTGTGTATGAGTAATCAGTGTAATGAAAGTGATATGGTTACCAAGGGAGTGAGAGATTGACTTCGCTCTCTTTCTGTGTGCATAAATTTGGTCTGAGACATTTGATTGCAATTGCTTCAGCAAATCGTAGTAGATTCGCTGTCCTTTGTATGTTTAATATTTTGAAGGATTTGGAAATCTCAACAAAATGACCCGTATCCACAAGGTGTCTGGTAATTGCACTTTGTAAATATTTTCTTCCTTTTAAGCATAAGTTTCTCGGAATATGCTCTGAAAACCGGATAGAAGCCCTTCTTTCTGTCCTTCCGATGAACTTGCTTCCGCAGGTGCAAGTAAATTTATAAATGCAGTTGGAGGTAACATCAGCAGGGTACTTATCCAGTTTCGATTGGCTTATAGGGCATGTAGTATTGTATAGTGTCACTAGATTGGCTGCAGGGAAGCATCTCTTTATTGCTCCTTTCATCCTTTTTTCAATCTTTTGCGGTACTGTTTCTCCTTTGTATGGGAGGCAAATGAACAGTTTCTTCTTTTCAACTGTTGGATACTTCTCTTTCTCATCTCTTTCTTTGCTGTACTTTAGGATAAATTCTTTTGGATACCCGTTTTTTTTCCTTAAGGCCTTTTTCAACAAAGCTTAATTCTTCTTCTATCTTGTTGGGTGAACATGACTTCCTAGCTCTGTCGTACAGTGTCCTTACTAATTCCCGCTTAAAGCTCATAGGGCAGAAGCTGTTGTAGTGAAGGTATTGTCCGGTCCAAGTTTCTTTTCTGTAGATGGACTCTTCGACCGTTCCATCGTCTCTTCTTTTTACATTTATTTTATTTTATTTGGTTGTGCCACCTTTAATGCTAACTACCTGTGGAAGATCATGTACCAGAGTGGCTGCTTTAGTTTAACTTCACCCGTCTTTATTTCCATCACTGCTATGGGGTCATGGGTGTTTACAGTTGAAGAGTCACAAACTAGAACAAAGTAGCTGTCAGTTCATGATGAATTCTAAATTTCATATGAGTCAGCCAGGGTAATTATTGTTAACAATATGTTTTTGTGATGTCAAATAACACTTGATTACTTCAAAATGTTAACTTATGCACTGTCCTTTTAACCTGATATTTGTTTTTGTTAATTTTGTCAAAGATTCTCTAAATATGGGTATCTGGTGTTTAGACAGCAATCCACAACAGACTAGTAGCCTGTTAAGATTTGCATTGAACAAGTCGAATATTTGGCATACACTGGGAATTATCTGTGTCAGTTATGCAGAACCATGGTCAATATTGAAGGAATTAGAATTATGGTTACAAATACTTGAAAAGCATATTGAACATTTGAAAATTGATGCTGAAGAGATTGAGAATTTAAAAGCAAGTAGTAAGTGTGTGTGTGAGCCTGTCTTATCATCATTAATTTGCTTATCCTATTGTTTGATTTCAGTTGGATGATGAGTCTCTAAATGTAGCAAAACATGGTCACATTAACCAAATAATAAGCATGTGAAAAGGGGATTCCACCGGCGAAATCGGCTGAGGGTCACAAAATATATCGTGAGTCGGTAGAAGTCAAAATTGATAGGCCCATTGGGTTCCCCCCTTGTGGCTGCCTGGTTAATCAGACGTATTTGTAACCTGAATTTTCTGGGTCGGCTTCTGTGTAGGGTGTGTAGAGCTCCTGGGGAGTCCCAAACAAGGATGAAACAGCTGTCTAGTACCACTTCGTGGTGCTTTTCAATGCTTCTCTAAATGAAGTGAATTCGTGATCATATTTCAAAATTAATCAGGTCCCGCAAAGCAACACTTGATTATCACTTGATTATTAGTGGTTATCGGTGGGATGGGGGACCTGCACTCCTTCCTATTTACAACTCGCCAGATGAATACAACTGTATTCCCGGGCAGTTGTGAGACTCTTACTGAGATTTGAAGCAAACATCCAAATTTTCAGATAATTATTTTTATTGTGCCCTTGAGTTCCTTGTGGAACATAGGGCTTCAACTACACGTATCCACTTGCTCTTGTCTTCTGCTTTACTTTTCACTTGCATCCATGTTAGTCCATACTGTTTCAACTCCACTTCACACGATCTCCTCCATGTCACCCTTGCACTGACGTCCCACTCGCCGCTTCCCTTTCGGGTTCCACTCGAGCTATGGCCTGACGCGCGATGTCACCCAGTGGCCTCCTCAGCGAGTGTCCAATCCATCTCCACTTTCTCCTGCATATTTGCTGGGCGATTGGTTCTCGTCTTGTTTGTTCCCATAGTTTCTTGTTGGTTCTTTTTCTTTCCGGCCATCTAATCTTCGGTACAGAAGGAAGACAGTTGTTGACAAAGCTCTGCAACAGGCTATTGGAAATATTCTTTGTCACCCGCCGCCAAGTTTCTGATCCATCCGTATAGAAGAACTGACTGACTGACTTGACGTTTGTTTGTATTGAAAATCCGAATCATTTTGTTGTTGATGCAGGCTGAGTTGAGTGACAGCGGAAGATTTCCAGATTGGTTTCAAGTTGATGAATGTGTTTCTCGCCTTCACGATTCTCGAATTGACATCCTCGTTCTTTCCTCCTGTATTTAAGACAATGCTTCGTTGATAAGTGAATGAAGTAACCTCTTTCAAATCCCTCCCGTGGATGGTGATTGGCGCTGGATGTTGCTGTCATTGTAGTTGTTGTTGGTTGGTTATTTTCATAACTTCCATCTTGTGTATGTTCACCTGGAGTCCTGTCTTCTCTGGCTGCTTCTTCGACCAGTTTGTCGGTCGGTTTTCGCTTGTAAGTCTTCGATTTTGTGTGACATCAAACATAAATCATCCGCGAAATCCAGGTCTTCCAGGTTCTTCACTTCGGTCCTCCTGGTGAAATGAATTATTCAAAATGAATTGAAACAATCTCTTCAATGATTCTACCAGTTTTCTTCCTATAGATTTTAGGAGAAACGCCTAAATAGTTTTGACAAAGTACATCACATCACGTCACATCGCACCCATAATTTATAATTTTAACTGAGAACATGAGAGTAGAATGTAGCTAATTAGAAGAAAAGGAACAAAAGTCCTCAGCCCAAATCTTATGACGTCTCATCACATGTTGTTTTTGAGTTCTTAAAAATAAAACGTCAGTTTTAATCTCTAATCCTTCAAAAAAGTGAAGTATGTAACAGATTTGCATGAGAAGTTACTTGTGATGTATTTTTACTGTAGTTTTAAAAATTAGCAGCCTCCTCTTAGTGCTCCCCCAGTGAGTGTCACTTTATATATATATATATATATAACGACTGGTATATAACACAGCTGTCGGTGACCATACCACGCTGATGAAGTTACCAGTTCTTTTCCTGTCACCAAAGTTAAGCAACGTTAGGAAAAGTCTAGTACTTGTACGGGTGACAATGACGGGTGTTTTACTGAATTTCATTTTTATTATCCTTGAGATAGTTAATTTGATTAAGGAGCTTGATAATAATAATAATTTGCTTTATTCCAAAACAGTACCTGTGATACAGAATCGAATTCTCAGCATTTTGTTTACTACAGTATTGCATCCAGTTAGTACATTATCAATAAATAGAATTCTACATAGATTAAGCAAATCTCAGTTCATTATGACAACAACATATTGGCATGTCGGTAGCAAAGCGAGAGTTGAAACAGTGTTTGAAGGTGTTAGAAAAGTAGGTGCTATCATATTTACTGATGTAAGCGAGAGAAAGAAACAAAGCAGCACATAACGGAGAAAAGAGAGAGAGAAAAGGAAAAGAAAGAAAGAAAATGTTGCACCTATAAATGATATGAGTTGGAAAGACGAGATCCAGTTGTTCTACTGACTATTTAATGAATTATAGGTGTCACGCCTAATGCTTTCTTTATCGCACAGAACACGAGCTGATTAGGGTATGGTTGAGTTTTTGTATTTGCTTGCTGGTGCAGGCATATAGTTTTCTATATAGGCTTCTGGTTTTGCCTGATGAGATGCAAGGGGAGAGTTGTGAGTGAAGAGGGTGGTGTGAGTTATATAAAATGGATTTGGCCCATTTTTCACATGAGTCCATGTGCCTGTCAACCAGAATATTAACAAGCTGGTTAAGTGGCACGTTGCTTACCCTGCTGACAACCTTTAACATCCTGCGTAATATGTTATAGTCTTTCTTCAGTAGCCTGGGAAAAACTAAAGGGGAACAATAGAGAATAATAGGCAGAATGAGAGAGTTAACTAATCGTAAGAGTAAGGGCTGGGATTGGTTATACCAGAATGTTTTAACTTCTTGATGTAGAAGGTAAGACGGAATATTTTCTTGGAAATCGCCAAGATATGAGACGACCAGGAGAGATCAGCAGATAGAATGACGCCTAGGTATTTAATTTCCGACTTGGTTTCTATTTCAGTGCCATCTATGTTGCACACCTCGTGAGAGCCAACCAGTTTGCTTAGGTCGGGTTTATGCCTAAAGATGAAATTGACTGTTTGGTATTTGGAGGGATTTAAGGTAAGACCGTTATCCTTGGACCACTGGCTTATTTCCGACAGAAAGCCATTAAGTTTAGAGCAGTCACTTTGACATTTGACAGGCAAAGATACTGTCAGATCGTCAGCATATTTGACAAAATTGATGTCGTTTGAAGATTGTAAGTCACGTAGAAAGAAAGAAAGAGCTTTTGTTGTCCTTTGAGACAACATCATCAGCGTAAGCTTTAATATGAAGTTGGCCTATTTGAATTTTTTGTGGATGACATAATAATTATTATTAATGTATATGTTGGCTCAGCAGCGTGGTATAATGGTAAGCGATTTGATACTCAGAATGATAAGTGCTTGGTTTGAGGTCTTAGTGGGATTGCTATCATTCACTGAGCTTGTTGTGAATTCATCTGGTGAGCCAGTTGTTGAACGAAACACATGCACTGTGCATTTTCATTTTTTTATCCTCCACGTTACCCAGTGGAACATAGGGCTTCAAGCTAGTGGCTTGAAGTTTCTGTAGCAGTGTTTATTTTACAGGATGGGGTTGCTAGCCTCATGCCCAACCAGTATTATTTCTGGCTTAGCGAGATAAAGGGGTGCGTCGGCCGGAGTTTGAACCCCGAACCATGTGCATGGTGGGCGAGCGTCCTAACCGCTATGCCATCGACGCACATTTTCATTTTAGGGTCATTATTTATTCACTTTCTTCACTTTGTTTCATTACTAACGGATTTAACAAACATCTAAGGATCTGAATATGTTGTCTTTACTCTTTTTGAATTATGAGTGGAACAAAGGGCTTCAGGCTCGGGTTTTGAAGTTCCAGGAACAGTAGTGTTATTTGTTCACAGGATAGGGTTAATAGTCTCACATTCAACCTCTCAATTTTGTCGTGGTTACTTCTAGTGAAGAGAGGTTTAGGAGTACATTGGCCAGGAATCAAACCCAGAACACGTGTGTTGTTGGCAAGAATTCTACCCATGAAGCACTGATGCACCAGGGTTTGATTAGCAAAGTACTATTCACTATTCAATACACTCAGAACCATACAGTTTTATTGGTTGTAATTGGTCTGTGCGAATAGCCCAAACCGTAGAAGGCAATAGTGACCTGAGAGGTGACTTTAAAGATAGAGGAACATAGGGCGTCAGCCGTGCGTCTCCATTGCGTTCGGTTCTCTGCTATAGTCTTCACCTGGCTCCAACTCTGCCCACACACTTTCATCTCCTCTTCACATGACCTCCTACAAGTCACCCTCACCCTTGCACTGACGACTAACTCGCCGCCGCTTCCCTTTCAGCCGGGTTCCACTCGAACAATGGCTTGTCTAGTGATGTCACTCACTTGATGGTTTGTTTCCTCAGAGTATGGCCAGCCAATCCATCTCCATTTCTTCCTGTCTTTTTCTTTCACAATCGGCTGGTTCATGCTGTGTTGGTTCGCTCATTGTCAGAGATCCCTCTCTGTTGCTGATGTTTTCTGGCCGGCCAGCCATCTGATCTTGAGTAGTATTGAGCGAAGACATCTAGCTGTTAATGAAGGTCTGTAGTTTGTTTGATGTGCTCTTTATGACGCGCTGGCCAAGTCTCTCATCCATCCGTATAGTAGCAATGACTGACTTCACATTGGAGTTGAAAATTCGGATGTTATTTTTGATGCTGAGTGCTGAGTGTTGACTTCCACACAGACTTGACGTGAGTAGTGAAAGCTTGTCTTGCTTTTCCGATTCTTGCTTTGAAATTCTCGTCAGTTCCGTCTGCCTGTAGTTGAAACGATGCTTCCCAGGTATTAAGGTAGGTAAAGGAGGTTGTTTCTTTCAGATTCCTTCCAATTTATGCCGATTGTTGTCTGTTGTTGTTGTTGTTGTTACTGTTGGTGTTGTTCTTGTCCAGGAGTCTTCATTACCTCTGTTTTCTCTATGTTCACCTGAAGTCCTATCTTCTCCGGATGCTTCTTCTTCTGTGAACTTGTTACTTTTCGTTTGCATATCTTCCAGTTTGTGAGAAATCAGACATATATCATCGGCGATGTCCAGATCCTCCAAATTTTTTGTGTGAGTCCATTTTATGCCTGTTTCCTCATTGCCCGCTGTTGGTCGCATTATCCAATCTACTGCAATCAGGAAAATCATTGGCGATAGTAGGCAGCCAGCTTGTCTTACTCCTGTCCTCACTTCGGAGGATTCCGTAAGTTTCCCGTTGTGGATTACTTGGCATGCGGCACTGTCGTACAGCTGTTGGATGAGATGTATAATTGTCGTTGGCACCCCGTAGTAACGAAATATTTGCCAAAGCACCTCTCTATCGATGCTGTCGAAGGCCTTTTCAAAGTCGATGAAGTTGAAATGGAGAGAGCTGACTGCCATTCCAAGCTTTGTTCAATGATGATCCGTAATGTGGTGATTTGATCAATACATGACTTGTTTCTCCTGAATCCAGCCTGTTCCGGTCGAACTGTGCATGTTGTTTTATTTCAGTTGATAACGATTAACTAACAGTGAAATCCAGAGTGTGCATTTCGTCCTATTTAGAAGTCGTCAGTTGAATGTCCTGCATCCCCTATGAGTAGGTGGTGGCGTTCCCACTAAGATTCAAACCTTGAATCCAAGAGCCACCCGGTGTTTTTATTTTGATCTGTATGTCTCGTTGATTGATTATGTTCACTCTAGTGGCCTAGTTGACGGTGTGTTTATGTATAAAACGATGCATACGGGGTTTAAGTCTCATTGAGAGCACCAGGACTTATTGCGAAGGTAGGCACATTCTGGATCGCATTGTTAATCATTATTAATAAAAGTAATATTATTACACTAGTCCACAGACGTCTTTGAAGCGTCTGCACTAGCAGCCAACAGACTGAATATTCTGTTCCAATAAAATCATGGCTGGGAAAATATGGTACTTAATAAGTTTAATCCTACTCCAAAAATATGGTGGAGATATGTGGATGACACTTTCACACACAGTGTTAAAAACAGAACATATCTCACGCTTCTTGACACCCATAAACTCACTAGTGGAGGGAATAAATTCACATTTGAAACCGAAAATGAGCAAGGAGAATTAGCTATGTTAGATTGTAAAATAAAATGAATAGAAGAAGGCAAACTACACACTAGTGTTTATAGAAAACCAACGCATTCTAATAGATATTTAGACTTTAATTCATCTCATCCTTTAACTGTTAAGGCAGGCTTAGTTAAGTGTTTAACAAACCGAGCAGTAGCACTAAGTAGCACAAAAAAAGACCTAAATGATGAAATAAAACAGATAGAAGAGGCGTTGGTTTTAAATAACTATCCTCTAAAATTCATTAGGAAGATTGAAAAACGCCAAAAGAAAAATAAAAAGAATTGTGAAACTAATAATAATAACATAAATAAGAGAGAATATAAGTCATCCACTGTAATATCATATAAAGAGGGAACATCTGAGACCCTACGTAGGATTCTAAATAAAGCAGGAATTAGGGTGGCATTTAAACCTACAAACTCACTCAGGGACAAGCTCTGTAGGTTAAAGGACCCAGTGGACCAAATTAGACAAAATAATATAATTTACAAAATACCCTGCAATGACTGTAAGGTCAACTACATAGGTCAAACTAGTAGGTCAGGGGTAGTCAGATTGTCAGAACATAAGAATTTAGCTAAGGTAAGAATGGTTGACCCCGAGAAGATAAGTAATTTAGAAAAAAACTCAGCAATTGCAATGCATGCATTAACACACAACCACACAATAGGGCAGGTGGGAGAGGGTTAAAATTCTAAAAAGTAATCTAGGTAGGTGGAAAGCGAGAGAGGTTGATTACTGAATCCTGTCTGGTTCATCGAATCTACACCCAACACATGCAATAGGAATGATTCATCACTCATACTCGAAGTATGCAAAATATTACTACCAATCAAATCAAGTGAAAATCAAATGAAAAACAACGGAACAATATAAATGAATTTAGGAAGTCGTGTGATTACCTTGATATGATTATGAGCAACAATAAATTGTGCTCGAAACGTTGTCATCAGTAAACATTACTGTATAACACTGTGAGACTTTATCAAAACAAAATTTACCCACAATGGAATTACACTCTACCACAGTGCACAAGTTTTATTCTTATACCAATAAAATCAAACAATTAAAAATATTAAATTAACCTTAAAAAGGAATAGTACACATGTGAACAAACACAAAGTGTGTTCCGAGTACGCCTTCTTGTCCATTTTCATTCCTACCCCTTTAGCTTTTCCTTCTCCTCCTTTTTCCTCTACAGTTGCTTACAATTTTAAAAAATTCATCGATCCAACAACCACTAAAGATGAAGCAACAAAGTCTGCTGTTGTTGGTTTACATCATCAAATGAGTCTACAGACGACAACTGTACTTAAAGATCATTATGAAAATACTCGATGGTCTTATGGACCATTACACCCAAAACCGATAGATCGTGGTGATGGTATCGGTGAACCGTTCAGTCAGTGTCAACTACAACGACAACAACAGCAGTCTATTGATTACCAGCAAGATAAGACTGGCGAAGGTAAAAAGAATGAAGATATGGAGGAATCATTTGAAAAACAGGAAGAAGAATCACAACACCGACATCAGTCCAATCAGTGGCTTAAAAATGTCATTAAACCTGGTGTTATGGACAAGTTGCTAGCAATCCCTATAATGATTGTTATTACAAAGGTGAGAGATTATTGCTGTGATAACTTTTTTTTACTCGAAAAACGTTCTACTATCAACCCAGTCAACCTATTCACTTGATATATTACTTTTGGAAGGATACTCAAAAGATAAGGATTTTATGATTAATTGTTTATTTAACAAAAAGAGAAAGAAAGAAATATTTGTCCGCCAAAACATAAATTCACAAGGAGGAATTTTGATTGATTCGGTCAACTTTTGTTTTGTTGAAGTGTGTAAATGTGCGCGCTTAATTTAAGTCAGATTAAATGCGGAAAGATATACATATATATATAATGAAAGTCTTAGGTCAATCAATAGAGTTGTTCTTTTTAGAAAAAAAATTAGGCAAGCGTAAATTTGTATAAAGGGGGGGGAAGGGAGAGAGAGAGGTGAACATTTTTCTGATTTACTGATCTACAATATTGTTGGTGGCTATTTACGTTGAAGTGAAGTCATTTAGAATTGATTTCTTGTTCACCTTTCTAGGGCGTTTCAAAAATAATAAGCAATCATGGTCATTTGTAAAACATAATTTTGAAAAAAAAAACCTTTTTTTATTAATTAGAATGAGCAGTAGAGAGAAACCAATCTCTTTTATTTACAATTTAATCTCATGACTATATACGTTATACCACTATGTAGAAGTGAGCGACAAATTTCCATTAACACTTAGGAATAGAAATGATAATGACCTGAATATATCAGAGAACTAATTACTCCATATAGACATATATACACATATATATATATATATCATTCGTTGCGTTGTGAATGGGGCATAGAGCTTTGGTGGTACATCTCCATTGTACTTTGTCCGCTTTTCATCTGGCTGCACAATTATCTGCATGCTGTCACATAATCTTCAGTATGTCACCTTAAGACTGACACCCAACTTGTCACTTCCCATTCGAGTCCCAATCAACAGTTTGGTGGTGAGTGTTGTCACTTAAATGTCTTCTAGGTTAATGTCCAATCCATCTGCATTTTTCTCTGCAGCGGAGTATTGGCTGTTTCATTGCCAGAGTTCGTTGTTGCCTATCCTCTGTGTGGCCTGCCGTCTGACCTTCAATTTTAAGCGAAGATGGTAGGTGTTAATTGAAGGTCTGTTTCAGCCTACTGAAAATGCTTCTTTAGGCTTACAGATACGCTTTGTTGATAAGTTACACTAAGTGTGAAAAGATATGTAGTGTGATGAACCGAATAGAAGTTTTTGGATCGATTCTGAGTATTGATTCAGAGACATTCAAGGGCTGTAAGAAGAATCACATTCGCAACATACAAACTGCGTAGTTCTATCTCGATCTTCCTAGCAAAACACTACTGGTTGACGTAAGTGGTGTCAAACTACTTATATGAATCCGTCAGTAGTATGTACCACCGTGCATTTTTTCCTTTTTGATTGCCATTTGTCATACCAAGCAGATGACATATTGTTAATTCTCGCCTCGAACTGCGTAATTTTCAAATTGCTAACTCGATTCAACGTACAGTCAGTTCGCCCAAGCAACTAGGAAGAATCAAGGTGGTTTGAAGTGACATAACTACCGGAGCTGGGTCAACTAATCAGGTTAAATCACTGACGATATAGGCTCCAAAAAGGCGAAACAACCATTTGGCGTTTACACCAATTCAAGCTGACTAACAAGTATACTACTGGTTGACCCAAGTGCTTTTTTACTACTCATAAAGTCCAACAAGTAATATGTGCTAGTAAACAGATTCCTTAAAAATGTTTTCCGACAAAATTATGAAAGAATGTGTCGTGTGGTTCCGACTACTAATCTACTCTTAGGATAAATATGAAAACAAACATCTAAGCCCTCTTTTCATTGATATAAAATTTAATTGAGCGTTTGTTAAATTGCCCCAGTGCACACAAAACTGTAGATTATGTCATGTCTTAAAGACAAAAAGAAAATTATAGGTGGAAACTTGTATACATGTATATTTATATATGTATATAGGGCACGTTAGCCCATATATATATATATATATATATATATATATATACGTATATTGACAGTTATATATTACATTTTAAGCAACTAAAATGATTAAAAAATCAATAACACTTATTGATTACAAATACTTATATTGGTGTTTATTTGTAACGTTCACCACATAAAGTGTTTATTTGTATATATTAAAAGACATAAACGTGCTGTTTGTTCTCAACTAATCATACATATATTTCTTCCCGAGAAATGCGTCATTGGTTCAGGTATAGAATGTCTGTCAGCCATTTACACATGGCTTAGGTTCTATACACAGGCACTGCACTCATAAACTTCGCTGAGTCGTTAGTAAGTCGGAAAAGAGGGGAGGTAAGGTGCAAGACTAGCAATCTTACCCTGTGAGACCTGGCCATTGAGAGTGGAAGACATGAAAAGATTAGCTAGCTGTCTTTGATCATAGGTGTCTGCGTTCTATCTCCCGTGTGAATGGGTATAATAAGGTGAGCAATATTGAGGTTAGGCCATCGGTCGAGTGCTAGGTAAGGAGGAATTGGAAATCAGTCGACGAGGCTGTTAAATTACATCGACTGAGATGGTTAGGACATGTGTTACGTATGCCTTGGGCAATGTTAGCTGATATAGGGTCAGGCTGGAAAAGAGCTAGCGGCGGTCAAACTAAAACATGGAACCAGTCAATGAAATCCACAACAGTTAGTCTAAGCCACGTAGGAAGGTGTAGACTTCCTGACTGGTTGGGGTCCTCGGGACGGTAAAAAACAATGGTTGGAAACAATTGGTGACATGGCTCAAAGTGATCGTTCTCATTGGCTGGCCGGTGCAGATGCATCCACTCCTTGTGACTGACTTGTGATTTCCAATGAAACTGTTTTGTTCTTCGCTACTGCTATACCTTTGTCTCACACCTCTGTTTACTGTCTATATTATGCATTTCTCCTACTTTATTCTCTTGCTTTGTGTGCTACAAGGAGGGAGTGTGGCGACTTGAACTGCCACACATATGTGTAAAGTTCTCTGTCAAAAACAGACAGACAGTGGCTGAATGGCCTATAAGCCTGATTTGTAGCCGGAAGGTCTTGAGGTCGAACCCAGGTGGTTGCGTACTGCTGAAAAGTTTCAAACTAGGATAAAACATCCGTCTAATACTCCTCGCTGGTTTTCAGTGGTTCTCCAACTGATATCAGTGTGTGGATAGACTTGAAATCAGTGGTATTATAATATATTGTTGAGTGTGAGTGAGTGAGGGAGTGAGGGAACGAACGAGTGAGAAATCACCGATCTCCGGCTTATAGTTGATAAATTGCAAAGAATAAGCATGTCTATATGTTGAATCATAACCGATGGAAAGAATATCTACTTCCAAGTACTCATTAGTTCAGTTGAGAAAAAAAATTCCAAATGTTCTTAATTTCGTTTTTCTTTTTTTTAATGTTAATGAGCTGTGATTGAAAGTGTAGCCGAAATATTCACCTCGAAAAGAATTGAAGTCACAGGCCTGCGAATAACTTGTCCAACTCTGTTAGATGACCTGTGAGACTCCTCTGATGACCAGGTCATCAGATTTGACTGTGATCATCGTCACACACTAATTACTCAGGCCGACTTGTCTGCTATCAGTACCGATTACTCTTATGGAATTAAGAGGAAAGTGGAGATTACCAACGGAGAGTTGAGAGAGTAATATCAACTGACATGACACAACTGGGCATTATTAACTTCCAAAATAGAAGTGGAAAGTGACCTTAGCAGTTAGCAGTTCACCCTAGTAGCTCACCGCATACTGCACAGTGCTGGTAATCAGAAGGCCACTGGTTCAATTTCTATCGTGATTCGGATTTTCATTCCATCTTTAATAATAATAATAATATACTTTATTCCAAAAACAGTACTTGTGATACAGAATGGAATTTCCAACATTAATCACAATATTGTATCCAATTTCCTCAAATTATAAATAAAATTAATTGCACAGAAAATTTTTCTACATTTACAATAGGGATAATGTCAAAAAAACATGCAGCATATAAAATGCAAATAATAATAATGATAGCAGCTAAAGTAATGATAATAATACAAGTGGAAATTGCCATGGGCTTGTTTCACACAGTATTGTCTATGCGGTATACAAATCCTTGCATGATTAGAAATATTGAATAAAATGTTCTGTTTACATGAGATGGTGAGGGAAAAAACAAAGATTAAAGCAGTCATAGAGATAAGTTGGTGTTCGCAGTTATGAAAGTAAAAGCAAAGAAGCAACAGAACCATAAATATAATAGAAATAATAGAAGTAAAACTTGAAGGTATATAAGGATAGATGGAGGAGATTGTTTATTTACTAGATGAAAAAACGTTAATCAATTCTTGCCTGAGACTATTTTAATCACATAAAATACGTGCCAAGTATGGTATCATAGAATTTTTATACTTAGACGTGCGAGCATACAGTTTTCTGAAGTTACTTCTTGTTCTACCTGAGGAGATGCAAGGTAAAAGCTGAGGGTGAAGTGTATGCTCCAAGTCAGACAAAATGCTTTTAGCAAATTTATTGCACGAAGTCAAATGCCTATCGACAACGACGTTAACTATGTAGTCCACTGGGACACCACTCATCCTACTGACAGTCTTCAGCATTTTACGAATTGTGACATAGTCCATTTTAAGGACTATGTCACAATCCCATTACATAAATAGCAGTCTCCTAATTCATGGCTATCCCAAATAGTTAAATTAATGTATCAGCATAAAGACTGATTTCATTTCAGTTATTACTGTTATTATTATTGTTTTTTTTTGCATTATTTTAGAGTGATATCGCTGATGCTCTTGAAAAAGATTCTGGATATACAGATGAACAATTCGATTTTATTCTATTTCACTTGAGAAAGTTGTGTCTAGAATGTATCCTTTTCAAGTTTCAGTTTTTTGTTTTTAAAGTTGGAATTCAGATTAAATTTTGTTTTATAAAATACTTTTCATTCATCCATGTAGAAATTAATGTATAATTTTAAAATGTTGCATTGCAGCCAGTTAGCTGACATCGAGTAGAGGACCACTGGAAAACCTAGGAGTACTGGACAACTGTTTCGTCATAGGCTGGGACTCTTCATCAGTACTCACCCACCGGGGTTCGAACCCAGGACCTTCTGGTTACAAGGCGACCTCGCGTACCATTAAGCCACTGGGACCCGATCCAATGGCCAGTCCATGAATCCTAACTTCTGCCAATTCACGATATAGCGCGACCCCTAGCCAATGTCTTCGGCGAGTATTTGTCCTCACACCCGACCTGCTGCACCCTACTGGTCACAACTTCCCACCTGGAGCCTCAGGTAACTACTTACCTATTGGCGACTGGCCCTATTCAGGTAAGTAGTTACCTGGGGTTCCAGTGGGAAGTCGTGACCAGTAGGGTGCAGCAAGTCGGGTTTGAGGACAAATACTCGCCGAAGACATTGGCTAGGGGTCGCGCTATGTCGTGAATTGACAGAAGTTAGAATTCATGGACTGGCCATTGGATCGGGTCCCAGTGGCTTAATGGTATACCAGCTCGTCTTGTAACCAGAAAATTCCGGGTTCGAATCCCGGTGGGTACGTACTGATGAGGAGTCCCAAGCTAGGATGAAACAGCTTTCCAATACTCCCTGTTGGTTTTCCAATGGTTCTCTAACTATTGTCACCTCATGTTGAAATCCTGAAAACTTTTTGTTGACGCTCCAAGTCTTTGCAACATATTTTTTAAAATTTCCTTCACGTTCTCCAGTGGAACATAGGGCTTCAAGCTAGTGGCTTGAAGTTTCTGTAGCAGTGCTTATTTTACAGGATGGGGTTGCTAGCCTCATGTCCAACCTTTCCTCTTCACCAGATTTTAGTTCTAGCTTAGCGAGGTAAAGGAGTGCGTCGGCCGAGGATGCAACCCCAGACCATGTGCATGGTCGCCGAGCGTCCTAACCGCTATGCCACCGATGCACAAAGCGTGTGTTGGATGGAGGTGGGATAGAAACAATTAACTTGATATTAATGTTAAGATTTCTGATCGTATCATGACTGTGTGGAATAAGCAGCTGATGACACATTTTCTTTCTATAGGATGAAACCATTAATTATCATCTTGCCAACTGATAACTGAACTCTTTCTTGTTGGAATAAATTCAAATCATTTATAATGCAGCAAGTGTATTCCGTCTTTAGCATCTTCAAAATTTTGAAAATCTACGCAGAACTTTATGTTAACAAAGTGGAAATCAATAGATTCCTAAGCCGCTGGTGGTTTTACCGAGTCGAAATGATCAATGCATATACCAGCAGAGAGTGATCATTTTGATTCATTTAAAGAAACAATAACGAGATATTCAAAAATTTCGCTTAGTTGAAGAAGTTTTGAATTTAATACAGGATGAATACACTATCTAGGGGGCGGGGGCGGTTTCGTCTAAGATCACTCCTTCGTCATTCTTGGTATCTTGCACAAAATAAAAATTTTAACGATTGTTTAAATCATAAAAAATGCCCATTAAAATTTTCAAAAGAATGGACATGGAACAAAGAGTACTCTTTTCGATAACGCCTTCATCATCAGGCTCTACAATTATATATACATTATATTGAATGAATGAATTAGTCTTATGAACAAAATTAATGTTGTTTAAATAACATCGAATCAATAATATTGATAGATTACAGCTGAACAGCATCAACATAAAATAAGCTGAATGTCAGAAGAATTAGGAAAGGTAATAGTACAAATTCATGAGTTTATAGTCTCTACTGAGGGCTGGCCAGGGCAGTAGTAGGGGCTGGACTTGTTTCTTTTGAACACAGAGCACTGGTTGTTTGAGGCGAATTGCAATAGCCTCTGCTGTTTGGAGCATGTGGTGCTTTGACGATTTTGGTAATTTGTTAGGCACCCGGTATATTATAGAGAAGGATTCTTCTACGCTGGCTGGCTTTGTGACCGGTTTGCACCAGATGGTCTAATATCGAGCTGTTAATAGTTTTAACTACACCTTTACTTAACCATAGTGGGATATGTTCTCGAGGAAGCACGAAAAATCAAGTTCCTAGAGCAACGGCCAATATAACTCGCTCCACAAGAAGCGCAGTTGAATTGATAGATACAATTTGAAGTGGCTAGCTAGTCTAGGTACTTCATCTTTCAGTCGAGGTAGCACCATCGGTCGTGTAGAGAATAATACGTGTAGTTCGCCAGCATTAAAAGTTCTTTGAACTGATTTTCTTAATTTCTTCGTAATTATCTCGCTTGGTATATCGCCCATGAATTGTAGTCGTATATAAAGTGGCTTCTTGTTTACAGACAGTGAGTAGTCCTTTTTCGCTTTCTTTGTCAAGTGTTTTTTGATAAATTTGTCAGGATAATCATTTAAATACTTGTCGGATGGACATAGTTTCAAGCTTATTTTCAAGCTTCTACACATATACAACCATAGTTTCAACGCGGTTTATGGATATTCCTTTTTTTGGGCTGTCCCGAAACATGACACATTCTATAACCACTTAGTGAGTACATGCGGCATAACCGAATCATATTATGCTTCCTCTTGTAGATTTGCTTAACAAGGGGTTGAGGGAGCTCAAGTGACTGATTTTTGTGTAAATGAATAATGAATGGATTAATTGGTTTAATGTCAGTAAAAAGTTTGAGCAGTGTGGAATAGATTAAATAAAGTTAAATGAGATTTCAGTGGTTTTTTTTGTTTTTGTTTTTTTCCTTCACGTTCCCCAGTGGAACATAGGGCTTCAAGCTAGTGGCTTGAAGTTTCTGTATCAGTGCTTATTTTACAGGATGGGGTTGCTGGCCTCATGCCCAACCTTTCCTCTTCACCAGATTTTAGTTCTGGCTCAGCGAGGTAAAGGAGTGCGTCTGTGGCCGGGGATCGAACCCCGGACCGTGTGCATGGTTGGCGAGTGTTCTAACCGCTATGCCACCGACGCTTTCAGTGGTTTACACACAATGATAAGTTTTGTTATTGGCAATAATATTTCGAGCAAAATTACTGCCCGTGTCCACACCACTGTTGGTATATGTTTTAACTGGAGTTATAAAAACAGCATGCACATGTGAGCGGGAAACCTGACGGGATCACTGGTATATATACTGAGAGCATTGATATTTTGAGGTAGATATGGAAACCCAGAATCAGAAATATATGTAAATTTCAGAACAACAAAATCTACAGTCATGTTTTTAACAATTCCGTGACTTTTGTTGCTCCTTATTTCTGAATAATTGCCGAAGGTTTTGTATTCATCAGGGGGGGGATAACATGTAACTTCAGTGTTTTATAAAAAATTTCACAAATGATGAATGATTATGCTGTCTGGCATGACACTGAAATGTTCTCCATCATAAACTAGTCACAGCCTTGGGTAGGCTAAAACTTCTCTAGTAAATACAATGACTGCTTAAACTCCCCGCCTCCCCTCCTTTCCACAACTGAAATCCTATTCTATCCTTTACTTCTTCTGAGATTATTTACTTGTTAAACTAAAAGTTCATATCAAGTAACCATTAGTAACCATTATTGTTATTGATATATAAGATGAGTTTCCGTTCTGATTTATTAAAACAAAGAATCTGTCATGTAACATGTTAAATGTACTATCAGATATAAAAACCACACACGCACAAGTAGATACCACAAAAACACACTTTGACCTTATGTTTTTTAAGTATATAAAGAGGAAGAAGGACAGCAAAAAAGGACAGAAAACAA